TTCTTTTTATTGTCTGAATATTCAGGAGCTAAGACCATTCCAATGCCCCCTTTCGCCATGCATAAACTAAACCAACAATTAAGATAAGCACGAAAATTAAAGCTTCTACAAATACAGATACACCTAATACATCAAAACTCATTGCCCATGGATAAAGAAAAACCGTTTCAACATCAAAAACAACAAAAACTAGAGCAAACATATAATAGCGGATTCTAAATTGTAACCAAGCGTCGCCTATTGGTTCTATACCCGATTCATAACTAGAAAGTTTCTCCGGTCCTTTGCTAATCGGAGCTAAAAATCCCGAAATGAAAAATACCAAAATAGGAATAAGACTTGATATGATTAGAAATGCCCAAAAAATATCATATTCATAAAGCAGAAACATAGATGCACTCCTATGAACGTGGAAAATATACCGGATTAGTCAATTCGACTTGAATTTTTTAAGTCGTTCATAACTGTTTAGTTAAAGTAAGAATTGCTTTTGGTCGAACCATTTAGTTGGGCGTGTTTCCTTTCAAGATTCATAGATTAGAATCCTATTTTTATTACATATCTTTAGATATCTTTTGATTTTTTTTTAGTTATAGTTAAAACTAACTATTGCTCTTATCCAAATTCTCTTGTTTTCATATCAATCTTACCGAGTATTCTCTCTAAAGAAAAGGGATTCTAAATATAATTCTCATTTTTTTTTTTTTTTTATGAATATGTCCATTTGTCTCTTTTTATTAGTGGTTTATAATAGAACAAGTAGTCAGATGTAAGAGAATGTCTAGGAATTTTCATCTCAAGATTTAGAATATATGGGTCTTATTATATTCCTTTTATTAGAATCCAATCCCGATGGAGGATTTTCTATTCATTGAATATCGAAAGAGAAGACTAGGTCTAAGTAAGGTATACAAAGGAAAGCCTATTTTACGTTTTAGCAAAGATATTCGCTTTTCAAACTTTATATTGTGCACAAATAGCGCGCAATACCGACGTAAATTACTATTAGATTTGATTGGGGTTGGGTTAGGTTGGAGTTTTTAACCAGACTCGTGTCATGATACAAAATTCCATAGAATTGGGTATACCAAACGAAGGGTACTATAATTAACTCGTTGATTTCGGACAGGAAAAGATGAAAATTGCAGATGAATTTTCCTACGAAGAGTACTGAACAAAAGTTGGTTTGTTTATCCACAACTGGAAAAAGATCGATTGGGTCCATTGAAATGAAATGTGTTTTTGCTTTTAGTTTGATATTCTACTTTAAACGATCCCCTTGAATGGGCTTATAGTAATGATTGTCTTTTGATGAAGCAATCAGTCAGTTAAAACAATAACGAGGAAATTCAAATGAAAAATGATACAATTTTTTTTTAATATTCATTTTTATTTATAGGGCTCTAGGGCTATACGGACTCGAACCGTAGACTTTCTCGGTAAAACAGATCAAACTTATTATTATCAAAATGATCTGAACTGTTTCAAAGACCCAACATGCATTTTTTGTGCATTGGGCTCTTTCATTAACTGATATAAATATCAGCTAGTCCGCCATTTTTATTTTTTACCGAAAAATAAGGAGATGGCTCCATGTGCTCTGAGTCATTATGTGGATTCAGATTCAGGAACACTACCAAAGTTTTTCAAGGGGGGTTATCTTGACGTAGGTCTGCCTCTGGCCTAGATTAACCTAAGTGAAATGAAGTCTCTATCGCTCTATTTAAAAATCAAATATGAAACTTCGTACACCTTAAAGTTCATAGGACGAAAAGAGATTTTTTTGAGGCCCTTATGCTCAGCCTAGCATTAAATAGACTGGGTATTCACCTTATCAATATATCAAATCAATGATGGGGTCTGTTTGGCACCTAACTGGGCACCTAAACGGACCGAACCTTTGTCAGGCTATTGTTCTCTTCTTCCCTCAAAGTTATGGAGTAAGACATCGATTTGTCAATAAGATCAATTTTTTTGATTCCATGATGGACTCCCCTGAAAAACATCGGCGCGCGTGTAAACGAGGTGCTCTACCAACTGAGCTATAGCCCTTAGTGCTTGTAATATATATTTTATTATGTCGATAATTTTTTGTCAAGATGAATATTCTCAAGATGACTATTCCATGATCCAAGATCATATTGATCGGTATTGCTTCTAAGTAATATGATATTTATAATCCATCGATGGGATGAGTCCCTTTTGGTTTTCTTTGTGAAGATAAATGACCTACTTAACTCAGCGGTTAGAGTATTGCTTTCATACGGCGGGAGTCATTGGTTCAAATCCAATAGTAGGTAGAACTTATTAGATACCGCGGTCCATGGTATCTAATAAGTTTTTATACCCATTTTCTTTTAGTGATATTGATTTTTTATCTTTTCTATTTCTTTTTCGTTGCATCAAAATCTGATTTTGCTTGATTGTATTTACTCGACAGAATCAAGTCAAACAAAACACCCAAAGGGTGTATAAGTGATAAAATCGATGATTATTCGGA